AAGAACGGCACGCTGTGGCGAGAACGAGGACGATGGAAGCAAAGCTAGTCGCAAAGATAATCGCAAGGCGGTTGGTTGTAAAAAAAACGTTTTGGCTATAGAGAAAGGTGGATGCGAAGTTTGTCGAAAGGACGGGCACAACGTAGAAAGCTGCCGTAAATTTGAGGCTCAGAAGGTTCCGCAGAGGCGCAAAACGGCACGACATTTGAGGCTGTGCTTCGTGTGTTTGCAAAGTGGGCATAAGGCCAGTAGCTGTCAAGCGAAACGGTGTATAGAGTGCGGTGGTGACCACCATAAAATGCTGCATAAAAACAACGTAGAGGTGAAGACGATCGACGCACCAGGCACGACGCAAGCTGCTACGGTAAGTCAAGTTGCTGTGCATGCTACGATGCAAAATGAAGGCGCGGATGTTATTTTGGCAACGGCGGTAATTGGTATCAAGGGGAGAAATGGACCGGAAATCCAAGCTCGTGCGCTTTTGGATTCAGCGTCCCAACTAAATTTGATGTGCGAACCGCTTATGCAGAGACTAAAGCTTAAATGGACTTCATGCATCATGACTGCGCACAGCATTGCAGACAGTGGCACAAATATTACAAGAAAAGTGCAGGCAAGCGTCAAATCAAGGATTGGTGGTTACGAGACATCACTTGAGTTTTATGTGTTGCCAAAAATAACGTCGTTTAAGCCAGACCAATTTATGAATGCAGATGATTGGGGCATCCCTAGTAACATATCATTGGCAGATCCGAATTCCAACAAGCCGGGCCGTATAGACGTACTGTTAGGCGCAGAAATCTTTTGGGACTTATTATCGGTTGGCCGAATTACGCTGAAAGCGAATCTCCCGCGATTGCAGAAAACTGTGCTGGGTTGGGTCGTGTCAGGTGTGACAAATCGAACCGACTCCAACGAGAGGCTTAGGAGCAGCTTAATGATGACATCATCCAAGCAACCAGGTGTTGAAGAGGAACTGACGGCCCTTGTAGAGAAATTTTGGCTGATGGAACAGGTTGATGCAAAAACACTGTTTCCAACAGCGGACGAGGCACTGTGTGAAGAGATTTTTATCAAAGAATCTAGACGTGATCACACTGGGCGCTTCGTGGTAAGGATTCCGTTTAAAGAAAATGTCGCTGAGCTAGGCGACTCAAATCAAGCGGCATTACGGCGATTCTTGCTCCTTGAAAAGAGACTAAGGAATAATCCAGTAATCGAAAAAATGTATAATGCATTCATAGAGGAATATTTGGCGTTGGGGCATATGGCACTGGTACCAAGGGATTCCAGGGAAAAGGTAAAGTACCTTGCACCGCATACGTTTGTGTTACGGCCAGAATCTACAAGTACTAAACTGCGGGTAGTGTTTGACTGCAGTTGTAAGACCTCATCGGGGCTCTCTTTGAATGATGTAATGTGCAAAGGACCCATTGTACAAGATGACTTGCTAGCGATCGTGTTGCGCTTTCGATGCTATAAGTATGCGATAACAGCGGATGTGACGAAAATGTATCGGCAAGCCTGGGTGAGTGAAGAGGATTCATTTTATCAATGTATATTGTGGCGGCCAACCCCAAATAAAGATATTGAAGTATATCGCTTATTGACGATCACGTACGGAACGGCGTCCGCGCCATATCTGGCGACGAGATGTGTAAAGGCACTTGGTGAACAGTGCGCAGAGAAGTTTCCATATGGTGCAAACAAGGTTTTATCAGATTTTTATATGGACGATCTGATATCAGGTGCAGACTCCGATGAGCAGCTACAACAAATTTACTCGGAGGTCAGCGAGATTTTAAGTTCTGCAGGGTTTGAGCTACGTAAATGGTACTCGAATAATAGTGAATTTTTGAAGAAAGTGCCATCGGATGATCAAGAGAAGCCACTGCGTATGAACGATGCCGAAATCATCAAAACTCTCGGTATTATATGGGAGCCAACTTCCGATGTGTTTCGTTATGATTGGCCGGAGCTGAAAATGGAAACCCCATATTCGTAAAGGCTAAGATCTTTTTGCAAAATCTGTGGATTATAAAGGTGCATTGGGATGAATCCCTACCATTGGAGGATAACGCTCAGTGGATCAGATTTCGCGAGAAACTGCCTTTGGTCAAAGATATACGAGTACCACGATATATTTTGGCGAAAAATGGTCCTGCCCGAGTCGAATTACACGGATTTTGTGATGCGTCGCTGCGGGCTTATGGGGCATGCGTGTACATTCGCACCGTCAATGAGCTGGACGAGGTTACGGTGGCGCTGTGGAGCGCCAAGTCCAGAGTGGCACCATTAAGAACTAAGTCGCTACCACGATTGGAATTACTTGGAGCTGAATTATTGGCCAAGTTATTAACCAAAACCCAAGAAAACTTGGTCGTTTCATTGAATGCAATCTATTTGTGGACAGATAGCGAAATCGTACTAAATTGGTTAAGTAAGCATCCATCGGAGTGGTCAATTTTCGTTGCGAACAGAGTGGCAACAATTCAAGAGTGGACGAAACATGCACTATGGAGGCATGTTCCAACCAAGAGTAACCCAGCGGATGTTATATCTCGCGGCGCATATGCAGATGAGCTAAACGAGACTTGTTGGTTTACTGGCCCAGCGTTTTTGAGGCAAACGTGTGACAAATGGCCACCGAACAGATTTCGGAGCGACGCATCTGAAATAAACATAGAACAAAGGAGAGCAGTGGCACTACCCATCGAGCATCGAAAAAATCAGGTGCTGCTGTGGTTGGAGTCGCATAGTAATTTTGGGCAGATACAGCGAAAAGTGGCATATCTGTTGTACTTCTTTCGGCGCAAAACCAATCGCGAGACCTTGGTTACCAGCGGTGATGAACCGATGCTGACAGCGGAGCTGTTGAGAGAAGCGTGGGTGCGCATCATGTACTGCATACAGCAGGAATACTTTGAAGTGGAGATCAAACTATTAGCGCGAGGCAAAGAATTACCTCCCGCCAGCAAATTAAAAAACCTTAGTGTGTTCCTGGCTTCAAGC